CACCAGTGTCGGACCACTTTTGGAAGTTGAGATGTCGAAAAAGTGCACGCCGTTGTGGCGCGAAGCACATTTTGAAGTCAAAATGTACAAAACACACCAGTGTCGGACCACTTTTGGAAGTTGAGATGTCGAAAAAGTGCACGCCGTTGTGGCGCGAAGCACGCCGTTGTGGCGCGAAGCACGTTTCGAAGTCAAAATGCACAAAACACCACATGCTCGCACCACTTTTGGATGTTCAGATGTCGTTTCGCGTGGCAGGCGCAAGGGATTGTGCACCTTGTCAAAAGTGAGCAAAACGTGTTGCATTTCCAAAAACCATGGCAGGCGTGGGACATTTGAAGAGAATCTGCCAAGATGCATTTCGCGTGGCAGGCGCAGTACAAAAGACATGTTCATGAGAGATGTTAGGAGGTCAGGGCGCTGATTTCCTGAGAGGGGTTGCATTTTGGAGCACCAGATCTGTAGGTTTGCTAAGATGATTGTGTGTGACAGGTGCAGCACTTCCTACGACCTGGCATCAATTTTTCGTGGCAGGCGCAATACTTCAGACAGGGTAGGTAGATAGATAGATAGATTGATAGATTGATAGATTGAATGAACTATAATTGGTAGTCCATTGTGAGCCCATCGAATATATCACTTGAGATAGACAATTAGGACACCTTAGCTTGACATAGCTTTGAGGGCGATAGCTTAGATAGCTTAGATAGCTTAGATAGCTTAGATAGCTTAGATAGCTTAGATAGCTTAGATAGCTTAGATAGCTTAGATAGCTTAGATAGCTTAGATAGCTAGACAGATAGATGGATAGATGGATAGATGGATGGATGGATGGATAGATGGACAGATGGATAGATGGATGGGTGGATGGATGGATGGATAGATAGATAGATTGATAGAAAAGTAGATAGGTAGAGAGGTAGATAGGTAGATAGGTAGATAGCTAGCTAGATACATAGATAGATGGATAGATAGACAGCTAGATAGATAGGTAGATAGATAGGTAGATGGGCAGATGGATAGATGGATGGATAGATAGATAGATAGATGGATGGATAGAAAAATAGAAAGGTAGATAGGTAGAGAGGTAGATAGGTAGGATAGATAGGATAGATAGGATAGATAGGATAGATATGATAGGATAGATAGGATAGATAGGATAGATAGGATAGATAGGATAGATAGGATAGATAGGATAGATAGGATAGATAGGATAGATAGGATAGATATGATAGATAGGATAGATAGGATAGATAGGATAGATAGGATAGATAGGATAGATAGGATAGATAGGATAGATAGGATAGATAGGATAGATAGGATAGATAGGATAGATAGGATAGATAGGATAGATAGGATAGATAGGGTAGATAGGATAGATAGGATAGATAGGATAGATAGGATAGATAGGATAGATAGGATAGATAGGGTAGATAGGATAGATAGGATAGGTAGGATAGATAGATATATAGATAGATAGCTAGATAGATAGATAGATAGACAGATAGATAGATAGATAGGTTAGGTTAGATTAGATTAGATTAGATTGATTAGATTAGATAAGATTTGATTAGATTAGATAGATAGATAGATAGCTAGATAGCTAGTTAGCTAGATAGCTAGATAGATAGGTAGATAGCTAGATATATAGCTAGATAGCTAGATAGATAGATAGAAAGAAAGACAGATAGATAGATAGATGGATAGATGGATAGAAAGATAGATAGATAAACAGATGAATAGATAGATAGATAGAGAGATAGATAGAGAGATAGAGAGATAGAGAGATAGAGAGATAGAGAGATAGAGAGATAGGTAGGTAGCTAGATAGATAGATAGATAGTTAGATAGATAGATAGATTGATTGATAGATAGATCGGTAGGTAGGTAGGTAGGTAAATATTCAGAGAAAGAGAAAGAAAGAAAAGGAGAGAAAGAAAGAGAAAGAAAGAGAGAGTGAGAGAGGGAGAGAGAGAGAAAGAGAGGAGACCTGTCGCTCCATCAGTGGCTTCGCTCTGTCATCCCTGATTCTCAACAACCAACCTTTCCTACAGGTTTTCTATTTTTGAAACTTCCGCCACCGCCTTGTGCGGTACTACTGGTACCTTTCAGTAAACTAACATAACTATGGAAATATATGGAAATCCATCGATTTCCCTAGGAACATCCCCTAAAGATACTTCAATGGGAATTTCAGGATCCTAAAATGGAGGTACTGTACCATTTTTCAGGCCATATTTTGTGAGGATATTCCCTTACATAGGCCTTATATAGGCCTTACATATGGTGGGTACCTCCAATTTAGGTTCCTGAAATGGCCATTGAATACTGGTAGTTGATTTTCCATAGCAAACTCTTATTTTAGAGGCTGCTGAGCCCAATTGGATGGTTTGACATGGTGATTTAAGCAACAAAAATGTGATGTAAGCAACAAGAAACGGGTATAAGAAACGGGTATGTAGCTGACATAAATGTGATACCACAACTGGATGGGTGGTTATATTGCATAGTTTGATTGTTGTAGATAGGATTTTTTTTTACTAGCAAGCAAAAACTGGCAGCTCATCCAAAGTTAGCCGTGGAACCAACAACAAAAAGAAAATATATAACTATCAAAATATGTGGTATACCCCTCAGTGTTTTTCACTTTACAATCACCAAGGTCTCCCGTCAACCGAAGGACGGTGCTTCTACCCCGTCATGGCCTTTGCCCAGGCAACCCAACCAAAAGCGTCACATACTGATCAGTTTGGACGCTGACAACATTTTGGCACAGAACTTCTGCCAACGTTGGCGGATCCGAGCGTCGAGTGACGCCTGAAGCTCCCACTGGAGAACATGTGGGGTTTCACGTTCATGTCTGGAAGCGATTCCGGGACGACCGGGCGGGGTTGGCATGCCGCTGCCGGAGACCTTTTTTGCAGCTGGGCGGCTACAACGAGGACTTCGAGGCCACCGGTTACCAGGACTGCGACCTGAACGATCGGCTTGAAGGTCTACACACCTTGCGGCTGGTCAATCCCAAATACGACCTGCAAGGTGAAGAAGGCGGCCATTAGCATCAAAATACAGGCACTCAACCATTAAAAGAGTGGATCAACCAGTGCATGAAGATTCTTTGTTTTGTTGTATTTTCGTTGCAATAGATGAAGGAATGTACTAATTGTTGTTGTTGAAAGATCTACGCAGAAAAAATGTTTTCAGTTGCAGAAATGAGGGAGAACCTTTCATCGAAGATTTTATGAACCCATGGAAAAAATGGTGTCTAAGTTTGAAAATTGGGTATGCCGGTATGCCCCTAATTTACGTTTTTTGTTTTTTTTTAATGAGGAAAAGGATGATAAACGCTCTAATTTGGGGGTACTGTACCCCTTTTTCAGACAACCCCAATTTGTTGTCAGGAGAAATTGGTGAACCAATGTGGAATTGCTGTTCCATTGATGTTACACTGCGAACAATGAACATGCGTTGGATGAAGAAATGGTTTGCTCGTTGAAAAGCTTGCTAAACCATCGAAGCTGAGTGCGAGATGATCGAGATGCAACTATTTCATTGGCAGCAGCCATGAGGGGCCAACAGGCCACATCAGAACAGTTCATGTTATATGTTTCCATCTGGGAATTCGGGAAGTGTTGCGGATTCAGATTTGAATTTGACATTCTTGGTCTGGTTGGTGGTTTGGAACATGTTTTATGTTCCATTCAGTTGGGAATGTCATCATCCCAACTGAGGAACTCCATGATTTTGCAGATGGTTCAAATCACCAACCAGATTATCATCCCATTATTAACCACTATTAAGCCACTATTAAGCCATTATTAACCATCATTAACCATCAACCGCCAACCAGTTGTCATGAATCCTCCTAAGCAACAACTAACTCTTGGACGGAGTTCTAAGGTTGGCCCCGGAGGGTCCCTGCTTTGCCCAGGATGGCCCGGTCTCTGTGGCTTATGGCCTCAAGAAGGCCCCACGGGTTCCCAAGGGATCCCACGGGGTACGGGACGGTTGTGGGACCGTTCTTCCGAGGATGGCAACTGTACTGGGCTTCATAAAGATTTTCCGTAACCCATGACGGATCCATGGTGTTGGTAGAAAAATGCTAACATAAATGGGGTATATTGATGGGATCCATGTTATAAAATCACTAAGATTGTGATGCTGGTGATGATGGTGGTGGTGGTGCTGCTGGTGGTGGTTGATGATGATGCTCATGATAATGTGGACGATGAGGAGGATGAGGAAGGAAGATGAGGAGGATAAGGATGAAGATGTGGAGGTACAGAAGGAGGAGCTGTTTTTTTTGGTTAGATGCATCTATGAATCAATGACACTTGATGATAACATGATTCCAGCGAGATTTCATGTTGAGTTGTTTTGTGCCCCGCATATTGATCCACAACGATTTCAGTTTTTGTTCAGTTTTTGATGAAATATGGGTTTGTTACTTTGGTGGAACTAGTTTGAATGCTGATTTTCATTCACAAATACAATTTTTTTGGTTGTAAATCATTCATGTTTTTGAATCAACTGTTAAATCATGGTTAAATAAGTTAAAATATACATACTTTTGCTGGATAGTAACCCAGACATCCACATGTTTGGCCATGTTTACCGCCCTCATTTTTGCTGGTGATATCTCCAGTTGGTTTCATTCCTGTATACATGGGTCCGTCCAGACATGCACAAAACAACTGGTTTTTGGAGTATCCAACTTTCATGCAAACTCAATATCATGTTGTTTATATATATATATATAATTAATATATATCACTAGTATTTATTTATATATATGTATACATATCCCATGATTAATCTCCCATTCCTAAGGCCTAAAACTCTCTTATTGAGTTATCACACATGTTGTGAAGTTGTGTTTCCGGATCCCTAGGAGCTCTTGGAAATCCGCGCCAAATATCCAGCGCCAGCCAGCTTTCAGCCGGGGATCACGTCTGAGACGGGACGCGGGCCAGGGCGCTAATGGGGTATAGCCATGGTAATAACCTCTATAAATATAATAAGTTGGGATGGAATCCCGAAAAAACTATGGTTGACTAAGCTATGAGTTGGGAATAGTTGGGATAGAATCCCGAAAAAACTATGCTTGACTAAGCTATGAGTTGGGAATAGTTGGAATAGAATCCCGAAAAAAACTATCCTTGACTAAGCCATGAGTTGGGAATAGTTGGGATAGAATCCCGAAAAAAAACTATGCTTGACTAAGCTATGAGTTGGGAATAGTTGGGATAGAATCCCGAAATAAACTATGGTTGACTAAGCAGTGAGTTGGGAATAGTCGGGATACAGTCCCTAGAACTATGGTATTAAATGCTTGTATATCCCACTTATAACTGGAAGTGAACCCCCACACCATGTTTTGGCAAGAGGTTGGCACATGCTCTCACAACAGATCTCGGTGACTATTGAATCTACCCTCTGGTAAACGTTTACATAACTATGGAAAATCACAATTTTTCATGGGAAAATCCACTATAAATGGTCATTTTCAATAGCTATGTTAGTCATTACCAGAGGGTATTGGAGCCAATTTATGGGACGAGACACGCCCACTGGGGATGAGGTCAGAAAAGTGGACTGTCCCTGAAGGTGTGAATTTCTTCACGAACGTTGGGTACCCTCTTGTGAACTAACATAGCTATTGAAAATGGCCATTTATAGTGGATTTTCCCATTAAACATGGTGATTTTCCATAGCTATGTTAATTTACCAGAGGGTAAGTTTGACAAGGTGGAACCAATTTAATCATAATTTCAATCACGCTGTTGGTTTCCATGAAACCAGCAAAACAAGTTGGAACCATACCAACATATCCCACATCATACTATCAGTTCCTCATATTTGCGGTCATATGAGCAGTTTCGCAAACCCCTGCTGGTTGATGATTTGCGCAGGTGTTGTACATTACCTTGAAATACCCTGAATAGGTGATTATGATGAGCCATGACGAGGGAAAGCCCATGAAAACCAACCACATTTTTTTTTGGAATGTTTCAAGAGGTCTTGACAGGTCTTGACACTGCCCAAAATCAAGACTACATGTCATTGGTTTCATAAAAGTACACATATACCATCTGGTTATTTAACAGTTCGCCATGGAAAATCACGTTTAAGAACGGTAAAGCATCTATTTCTATGGGTCATCTATACTATGGCTATGTTAGTCATAACCAAAGGGTATATAGTTTTTAACATTTTATAACTAAAATTTCACTAGGGATCCCATCAATATACCCCATTCATGTTAGCATATATATACCAGCACCATGGATCCTATGGGATATGTTAGTCATAACCAGAGGGTAATATCCCATATCATCCCATGAAATTCACCATTCTTAACCATAGAAAATCACAATTTTCCTAGTGGTTAGTCATAACCAGATGGTATCCGCGATATTTTGGTGGCGTTTCACCATCCGCATGTGTTGGTTTCTATGGGATCCAACGATGATCCCAGCAAGGTATATCCATCGAGAAGCCTCAGTGCTACGCGAGAAAGAGATGCATCTCGGTTGAATTGGCGAATTGGGTTTTTACACTGGGTTTATTGGCTTATACTCAATATTAACACAGTTCTAATATGTTCTAATTGGCGAACTGGCGAAATGGCTTTTCCCCAGATTCTTCGGTTCTGAAGTGGTGAAGCATCAAATGATGCTCAATTTTGGCCAGTGCACTTCCCCCAAACAGTGTGTGAGGAGCCCTGTTCTTGGAACATCAAATCTTCGTTGATGTTATCCCTTAATTTTGAAGCTAATTGATCGCTACAGTTGACTAGAATTCTCCCACTGATCTGTAGTATTCCACGGTCCTAGTATGTTTCGCTACTTCCTCAGAGGGTGTCGGAAATCAACAGCGATGCCCAAATTACAATAAATTACACGCAAATCGATTGCTGATATGCTGATCAGCATGTTTCCATATAGATCCAGTAAAACGTCTCTGAGTCTCTCACACCAAGCAGAAAATATATCACTGGATCGGCTTGAGGGGAAATCGGAAACAATTTTTGTTGGATCAGCTTGGATATGTTATTTATGTTTATTGATATATAATTATATAATAATGAAAAAACATCTATATAATCCAAGTAGTATATACTATACAGTTGGATACAACATCATATTTATATATATATAGTATGATGTCGTTGTCTCCAGAAATCCAAGTCGGCAAGTAACGATATTTTTTGCAGAAAATGGGGGCCTAACTTTCAGGGAAGGAGGATGTAACCACCCCCACAGAATATGATTTGATTAACATACATGAAGAGAGAACCGCCACACATGAATCACTTGTTAAGTTTTTGGAAGTCGAACCAGAAGCGTCAGTGCTTAACATGGTGTTGTCAGAGTTCAGCAATCCGCCGAAATCTCAGAATCTGTTGCAGGTGGGGCACGAAGGTCATTTGTCATGAAGATTGAAAACCGTCCACGTGAACCTTGACGTTGACTTCAACCTTGCTTGCAGGTTACCCTCTGGTAATTTAACATAGCTATTGAAAATGGCCATTTATAGTGAGTTTTCCCATTAAAAATTGTGATTTTCCAAAGTTATGTTAGTTTACCAGAGGGTACATTCCATGTGACCTGGTGACCAGGATGACTTGCAACCAGAAGACTTAGCTTCGAATGTCGGAGCAGCGAGGGGCTTTGGTACTGTGTCTATTCTTAGGTTCCGGTGAAAACAGAGAAGAGAACTTCCTTCACCGCTGCCGGCAGAAACCTTTCTTGCCTTTCTTCTGTGTTGGATCAGTAGATTGCCAGTCAGCCCATTCAGGGGAGTTGTTTCTTAGTTTAGGCTGTGAGATGATGGGAGTATCTTTTCAGGGACCCGTTTTCATGTGGCTTCGCTCAAAATAGGGCTGCTCCAAACATCCAAAGTCTTTCTTCCTTGTGCAGATGGACATTGAGTCAATTGAGTGTGGTGCGTGTTTGGTTTTTTTAGTGTTTGTCATCATCTCCCCGTTTGAGATGTTACTTTTTTGGGGTATGCTCCATTACAAAAACTCAACTCACACGATCTTGTGCGGCCTTTTTTTCCATTGTAATCCGATATGTTGAAAACTCCACATACTCCCCTGCTGGGCCTGTGAAATTCCCATGGGAAGGACAACCCCAGATCATGATGTTGGTTATATCAGTTATATCATGTTATATCCCACTCTATTCCCATGATATCCCCATCAGCTCATAAGTAATTGCAGTATCAAACTATACTATGGATTACTCAGCAGATCTATAGGACATCTTCTTAGATTTTCTGAGTCGCTTCTCTTTATCCCACCAGTTATATACATCCAACATTTGGGGAATTCTGATGGGAACAATTGTTCTTTATCAACGGCCCTCAAAATTCAGCAAATCCAAGTATGGTGTAGACCCCCGAAATGGCAATGTTCGTACAATGAGGGTTTTAAACCATCAAACTGACCTAAACAAGTTTCCCTAATTTATACCTAATAGGCATAATAAAATACGTGTAAAGTAGAATTACTTCCCCAAAATTTTGCGCGAAAAACATGGAAAAACCATACTCCGTCAGCCAACGACGTCCAGACAGCAAGCGTGTCATCCTTCACCCGATTCCGACGTTTGCGGCCTGGAGCCCATGTGAGCGGGGCAGACTGGCCGGAGCTGTCCTAAAATGGAGGTACCCCTAAATCATCCATGTTAACAGGATTTTCCATTAAAAACCATTCAGCGGCTATGGGGTACCACCATTTATGGAACCCACCACCCACCATATGTATATATATATATATACATTATACGCAAATATATATATATATATAATTATATTTATACTATACTCATAAATGGTGGTTGTGACATGTTGCAATTTGGTTATTACGCGCCTATGAATTAATTGGGATGCACCACCACGCAGGCATCCTAAGCTGGTAATAACCCGTTAGCATAGCCTGTTATGTTTCACTAAGTAGGGATATTTAACTACATGGGTTATGTCGACATGCTTGTAACCATCTTAGTGGTATGTACATCCAAGTACCCAACAAAACATATGGTGGGAACAGCCACTGCAAAGATCTAGATTTCATCATGAAATGTCATCAAACATCAATTTTCGCCCAAAATATCCATAGGACTTTACCAGATGCTGTACATAAAATCCTGGTTGGTGCTTTGGAACATGATTTTTTTTTTTTCATATACCCTCTGGTAAACGTTTACATAACTATGGAAAATCACCATTTTCAATGGATAAATCCACGAACTAAATGGCCATTTTCAATAGTTTTTTGTTTGTCTACCAGAGGGTATTGGGAATGTCATCATCCCAACTGACGAACTCATATTGTTCATCAACTAGCCATGGGATATCCTGCTGGACAGGAATTGTCGTTGCTGATCCCAGGTGGTGATCTACCACCGGTGGATGGAGTGGTTTGTTCTAGTTGAAACAACCGCGTTTCTGAAAACGGAAGGTTGTGAGTTGTGAGTTTTAGGAATGGGATTATATAGTTATAACTTTAATATGGAGGGAAAGCCTGAAATAGAGGTACCCCTAGTTACCATCCATTTTAGATTGGGATTTTCCATTAAAAACCATTCAGCGGCTATGGGGTACCACCATTTATGGAACCCCCTATATGTTTTAACTCATAAAATCTCCGATGTGTTCAACTCTTCAGAATGGCAGTCTTTCACCAGGTTGGGTGATGGCAACAGCGGATCCAAACGGTGCATATGGAGGTTGGATGATGGGATGCCACTGGATGAATGGTGGATGAAAATAAGGTTGATGTTGTTATGATTGTTACGGAGGGAGAGTAGTCATATCATATCCAAGCTGCAAACTAACATATCCTTGAAGATTCTCGGAAGTTGTGTCAGAAGAGAGTCTAAGCTACATTGAAGAGTAGGCTTAGCCATCTATCCAACTGAAGTTGGGATTTACGGTTGGCAACGGTCGTATTCCCTACTGACCCTGGGAAGTGAAAGACTATGGTCCCATGCAAGGTGGTACCCCGTGGCTATTATTTGTTTTATAACCCCATTGAAGTGTAGTTATATCATAATCCCAGCAGGCAACTGATTCGGTTCGTTAGCAGGTAACTGATTCGACCTGCCTTGATTCCCAACTTGTCCAATCTTCTGACCAGTCTTTTGAATTCCCACGAACCAATTGTGCTCGTGGATATAACACAGGAGTTGTGCCCTAGTGATTTCAATCAGCTACCTTGTGGGTCTTACTTTTTTTTTACTTAGAAAATTATCCCATTGTATATGTGTGCTCAACAACCCTGGTCACTGTAGTGAGTCCCCTAGATTCGTGGGTTATCCCATGTGTCAGCAGTTGGTGCCAATTTCTTCAGGCGATCATCCAGACAACGAGGAAGACAGGAGCCATGCCCAGTTCGTTCTCGCAAAAGTTGGTGGTTTATTGAAGCAAAAGTTGGATACATAGGAAACATAGCCATTGGAGCAGCTTAAATAGATGGATTTGTGAAGCTCAGCTGAGTTGTTGGTTTCGTTTTCATGTTTTCTTTGGGCTTTATATACTATAAGTGTTTCACCGGGGATTGCCGGGGACCACTGAAGCATGGGAATGCCGAATGAGACAGAAGGGAGATCAGGAGCTCCACTGTTTGAAAGGAATCCATAGGAATCCTATGAATCTTCTGTTTTTTTTCAGTGGGATAAGTAGGGTTAATCCAGAAGATTAACACAGAAGATTACTGATAAAACCAGAATCCTATATGATATTGGGTGACTTATGGTAATCCACTGATTGGTTAATCCACTGATAACTGGGGTGAACTATGGTGAACTTACTTAATAAGTGGGATGAGCCACCAAGTATGATTTGAAAGGTATCCCAATAGACCAATTGTTACCATTAATGCCATGGGGGTAACAATGGGTACACTACATGCGACATGGTCAACTTATGTTCAGGTGCCCATATTGTGGAATATATAGTCATCAGTCCTTCCATAGGAATGTGCATAGCCGTTGTGTTCGGATTCCCACTATGCGACCTATTCAACTATAGCCCGTAAAAAAGACCATGCTTTGACTTTGGTACAAATCAATGAAACATGGCTTTCCCCACTGAACAAGAAGCTGAATAGGGACACAGCCGTAACGAACCTGGTTGGTGGTTTGGAACAGTTTTTAGTTTCCCCTTCCTAGTTGGGATGATATCCAATCTGACGAACTCACTTTCATATTTTTCAGGGGGGTGGCGAAAAACCACCAACCAGATATGTATATATAGTTATATAAGATACAGAATAGTATGGCAATATGAGCAAAAATACCAACCACCAAGTAGTAACTAATTTGTCATGGCTTTAGAATTTGGGAGTGACCAAGACTGGCACCACAGATGGACTGGTCCTGTGAGTCTCGTTGTCCAGATGACTCGACCCATTCAGAAACCGTGAGTTCTTTGTGGAGGCCAGAGGCTATTGTTAGTGAAATTTTCAGGACCCTAAAATGGAGCTACCTCCATACATACCCCCTGGTAAACGTTAACATAACTATGGAAAGATCCACCATGCTGTCAATGGGTAAATCCACGAACTTTCTATGGGCCATTTTCCTTAGCTATCCTAAATTGGAGGTACTGTACCATATAAGGCCATATTTTGTGGTAATATTCCCTTACAGAGCCCTAAAAAATAGGCCTTATTAATATGGAATCGGTACCTCAAGTTTAGGTTCCTGAAATGCCATTGATATTGTGTGTATGTGCATGTTTCCCTCTCATCTTTAAAACCTGATTGAACAAGAGACATTGCCTTGTTGGTTTGTACATGTTTGTACCAGTTGCATTTTAAGTTTATGTTGTGTCGCTTGTAGATGCTTTGAGAATGTTTGATATATTTGTGTTCCTCTGTTTGGGATGATTCGCAGCAAGGTGGTATAGACATGTTTTCCATGTTCCATGTTATCTTCAGGATGATGGTTCCATTTGAACAAGATCTTAGAGATGGGTTGACACCACCAAACAGATATGTGCCATAATTGGTGGATAGTCACAGCAGCAATAAAAACATGGAATGGTAAAATTACCTTAACTATTTATTATAGAATGAATGATTGTCATATAACTATATTTAGCCTGAACCAAGAAAACGCACGACGTCAAACAACTTTAACCTTACCATATACATATATAAATGGTTGTGTTTGTGTCTGTGTAGTTAGATAGATGAATAAATAGATAGATAATTGGATAGATAGATAGATAGATAGATAGATAGATAGATAGATAGATAGATATAGGCAGAATCTGAGAGTAACGTGATTATTGAGGCATTGCTGAGTTTTTTTCCCCATGTGGTTTCTTGATTCTTCCCTGATTTGGTTCGAAGAGATTTCCTGCTCGTAGATTTGGACAGATTTTGGAGCATTTCTATCTTGACAATTGTTCGTAATGTTGGTTGTGGTGACTGGAGCATTTTGATTATGTTTCCAGTTGCAAATTGGTGATAATTCCATTAACTATAGGTATATCACCTATAAACCACAGTGAAATTGGACTTATTTTCCATAATATATTGGGAATTTCATGATCCCAACTGACGAACTCCATCATTTTTCAGAGGGGTGGCGAAAAACCACCAACCAGATTACCTGTCTTGAGCCTTGTTAAGGGTTGCCCTCTGGTTACGACTAACATAGCCATGGTATAGATGGCCCATAGAAATAGATGGTTTACCGTTCTTAAAAATGGTGGATCTTTCCATGGCAAACTGTTAAAGAACCAGATGGTATATATCTACCTATGCATCTACTCAGTTGTGTTAAACTGGTTTCCCGAATGGATGGTCTTTCGATTTTTCAACGTTTGTTTTGGAACATGCTTTGAAGCCACCCGTGCTCCAGTTGTTGCTTCCTTGTATTAATAGCCCATTGGCGCCATTGGTCCATTGGCTTTTTCAGAATGGCTCGGTACTTGTCTGGCTGCTAGATATATCTAGATATATGCCTTTTGACAGGGGATGATCGATCCCCTTGATTAAAACCATTGACCCCAAAGAACTACAACAATCCGTGGGTTGTTTGCTTGGCGGTATTTGGCGATGGATCAATACCTATGAATGCCAAGTTTATCCATTTTTAGGGATGAACATCCAGCTAAATCAGCTAATTTGATGTGAAAACCATAGGATTCCATGGGTTTTGCCCATTGAGCCACGAATATGACGAAGGGAGGTGTGGGAAAACCTGAAATGTTTGATGCAAATTGGCAGCAGTTCAAAAGATTCAGATTCTGGGCGCAATTTTAAAACAGTACCCTCCTGGTGTAGGATTTCCGCTCCTACAAAGTTCTAGATTTTGGACCCCCCAACTTGGAGGATCATCCCATTGACCTGCGTGGCAAATTGCGTGTTCCCCATTTATATGTGTGTATATATGTATGTATATATTAATATATATATATATATATCCGTTCATAGCTAGTTTCTAGCCCAATTTACAAAGCACGTACTAGATTTTGAACTTGCAAGTACTAGATGGCTGGGAAATTCCATCATTGTCCCCCGGTGTGTTTGTTGGTGGAATAGGTTGTCGCTCAAATTGCAGCACACGAATCTGGAAAAATCATGAAGCTTGGGAGGTACTTGATTTCGATTTAATGGAAGCACCGGGCTTCCCATTTATGTATTCTTTCCTTCCATGTTCGCTGGACGGCTCATTCCATGATCGTGACAATGGCAACTATGGATGATCCTTCAAGCAGTCGAAGTCACTGTTTCCATTTGCCAAGCGACAAACTTCAGGGATCTAAGCAGTAGAGGCTTGGGTTTGTCATACAGCCATTTGAAGGCATAGACAAGGTCAAATGTGCATTCGGGTTCGTGGCTTTTTGCACTACTTTTTTTTGCGTAGCGAAGGGTTCAAGCACTGGTCACTGGCTGTTGCAATCTGGATGATGGAATGAGGAGGAGACAAGTGAAAAGAATCGTGCAAGCGGCTTCCTTCACGTTGCATACAAGGTGGGCCAACCTAGATAGCCAGGTTGTGCAACTATCGTGCAAGGTAGGTATATCCAAAGCTCATTGGTCTTGCAAACCAGGGGCGCGCAGCAGGCACGAGCACCCATCAGCCCAGCTGCTCCATTGTTTAGGGCATTTATAACAGGGTATATGTTTGGACATAGACTATATGGATGCTGCGGTTTAACTCATGCACTAACATCTCAGCCCGCGATCTACTTGTAGCACGTTCGCACGTGCTTGTGATGCTTTCTGGGCACCATGCTCCCCGACAAGTTTCTGAATTTCCTGCCAGGATGAATTTGAAATTCGACAACTTCAGGCTCATGGGTGGGACCACCGTCAAGAAGGATCTCTCCGCACGGTTTGCGTTCGAGGGGGCCGCAAGGAAATTGAATTCTTTCGAGATGAAAATAGCAGGTAGACCCGTGCCAAGACTGCTACAAGTTTTGGGGCCTTTTTTGGCGGCATTTTGATGCTTCTGTGTTTTGAAGCCTCATGGAGGCCCAAGGGCCCAGTCCTTCCATGGCACAAAAAAGCCGCGGGTAGGTACTGTATCCACGTGCGTTGGGAAATTTATCGGCAAGGTTTGTTTTTGCCGGACCAAATTTTGGTTGATTTGGAGAAATACTGTGGGCACACAAGTGACCAATATTTTGATGATGTCGATGTCAGAGGTTTTGTTTGTTACTTTTCATGTTTTTCACATGTTTGAATGAGGTCCCCATTTGCTGGTTCATTTGTTAGACAACCTAACTTTTAGTTTTTAGATCACGTTGTATTTAGCTAAGTCCGAAAAATGAAAACTTGGCCTATCATCGTTGTTTCCCTGTGGCAGGTTGGTGTTTCAGTGCGTCAGTGGCACCGCGTTGCTACATTGGGCCTCTGAAGAGGCATCGTGCAGCGGCGGGACAGGGGGGGTGTTACATACACACTAGCGACCTCGCAACTAGTTCACCGTATTTTTTGTGCAACACGGGGTTTCATCCCCAAGAATGTTCTTG